AGCAAAACACCCCTTCCGCCTCGCCCGCTTCATGGTGCCCCCCGCCCTGGCCTCCGCCAGATCAATCGCCTTCATGGGCCTCGCCATGACCATCAACACCACCATGCTGGCCCAGGCCCAGGCCCTCTGGATCGCCGCCTACTTCACCGACAACCTCACCCCGACCCCGCGGGAGCACTGCCCCGCGAACCTCCGGAAGACCCTCGAGCAGGGGGAGAGTAACGTCGACGCAGACCTGGTCTGGGAAACAGCCCTGCACTCGCAGTTCGGGGTGCATCGCTACCGCGGCGGGTTTGGGAAACGGAACCCGGATTTTGTCTTCGATGCCGTGCCGTATGTGGATTTGTTGCTTCGGGACCTTGGCCTGGATTATACCCGGAAGGAGGGTGGGTTGAAGTGGTTGGTGCCGTATGGGGTGGAGGATTATCGGGGGTTGGTGGACGAGTGGGTTCGGTCGAGGGATGCGGTGGGGAAGAAGGATAATTAATTGATTTGTTGATTGATTGATTGATTTGATTGTGGTCGTGTATGTGTATATACCCTGGTGTTTGTGGTTTCACTTGTGTAGAGTTAGTTGGGTGTTGTATTCGTAGTTAGGATTTGTGTTAATGTTGAGGTTTTGTGATGATTTGGTGGGTTTGTTGGTGTCGTTTGTTTAGTAGCATGTAGGGGTTGGGGGTGTTTTGTTTGTTTGTTGTAGTGGCTGATCTCTAGTGTAAGGTTGTTGTTTAGACAGGATATACGTCTATTATGTAGAGTCCTATCCGGAATAATCTCGAGTATGTTATATCAGTGTATTCACTGCAAGGAGACTCATTCCGAAATCAATTTGCCATCAAATACGGATCCCAATAGTCTCCTACAACGCCTCTACCTACATACGTGTACATACATCCGGCTATCCCTCGCTGATGCCAAACCATTCACAAGATATCAAAGAAAAAAAAAGAAAAGAAAAAAAAAAATCAATCAATCGTCCCAACCGAGCCGCTCGCAAAGTACATACAGGCCAAATACAAGCATCACGGAGCGTACACAAGAGAATTAGAACAATAAGTCGAGAGGTGAGTTCGAGAGAGGTATGTCGATTCGGGTGGGGAGTTTATGGAGGTCAGTCGAGATCAAGGGGTAAACGAGAACGGGTCAGCCTAAACCGACAAGCCATGGTCCAGGTCTTTGTCTTCCTGTTTCACCGAGTCACTCTCCTGCTTCGGGGTCGTGTCGGACACGTCCTTGCCGCATCCCTTGACGAGAATATGTCGCTGATTCAGTTAGTCGTCTAACTCCAGAGTATTGACTGTCTGTGGATCTTACCTTCAAGGCATCCTTGCGAGAGAAGCTTTTATCGCAATGATGGCAGGGGAACGGCTTCACGGAGAGATGGATCCGTTTGTGTCGCTTCAGGTCGTGGTTCCGGTTGAAACTCTGCGGACACTGGTCGCACTTGAACGGTCGGTCGTTCGTCGGACCGGATGCGTGGCCCGCATGCGAGGGATGACCCCCGTACATCTGTTGCATGGCTAATTGGCCGCTGTTGTACCCCAGTAGGCCCGGTTGCATATTGCCGACGAGGGACATCTGTCCGTTCGGATTATGCACGTTCGTCATCACGGGTCCGTTCATCGCGGGTAGCGAATATGAGGGCCACGGCTGTCGCTGGTAGTTGAGATGATGCGGCGGCGGATTGGACGCCACCCGTCCCGGGGGGTGAATCGCGAGGCTGGTTTGGCCGTAGGGAGCATAGGCCCCCGCGGGATTCGACATCTGTTGGATTCCGGTGTACGAGGGAGCGGACGAGGATTTCGTCATGTACGGGTCGTTCGAGGGGAGCGGCGGCGGGGCCGGCGGCGGATTGGGGATCGCATTGTGCCCCGTGAGCATCGCATGCGTCATAGCATGATGCTGCGAGTTCGGGCCCGGCATACTCGATGCGAGCGGTTGCTGAAACGGCGGGAGGTGGTTCATGTCGTACGGCTGGCTGGGGATGGTCTCGGTCCCGGGTGGTGAGGTCGCCGAATTTCGATGGAGATGGTTCACGGAGGGGGAGAAGGTGTCGCGCGGCGGGTACGGATTCACAGCCGCGCTCCAGGACTGACGGGGCGCCGCGGACGCAGCAGTGTATGAACTCTGGCCCGGCCAGTAGGCGGGAGCATAGGACGAGGTCGGGTCGGGGGATGCAGAGACCGCGGCGGTTGTCACGGCTGTGGTGGTCGGTATCGGTGTCTCGCCGGACTGTGTCGAGGCGGGCGGCGTCAGAAGGCTATTGACACTGTGATTGCTCGCGGGCTGTGTGTGCGTGGGCTGGGGGTGATACTTCACGCCGAGCTGGAAGTTCGGGGGCGGCAGCTCGAAGCTGGGGAGGGACGGCGCCGCCGGTCGACGGGAATTCAACGGCTGAGGGGCAGTCAACGCATCCAGCGCTGTCCCCATGCCCGGTGGCGGAACCGCAAGGGCAGCCAGGTTGGCGGTGGTGTCGCGCGAGAACCCGAGCGGGTGATACAGATCGGCCGTCTCTACGGGCGGCGGATGGGCCAAGGTCGAGGTCAGCGTGCCGGCGGAATATCCCGTATCGCCTCCGATTGCCCAGTATCGATTGCCAGACAGGCCCCCAGAGACGTCTGGAGGATCCAGGAGGGGCGATGATCGCGGTTCAGCGATCGACACGGATCACGAACGGAGAAGAGAGATGCGATTCGGAGGGAGAGACGGACTCTGAACGGATTCGATGGCTCGCTGTCGCTGGGTCGAGTCGACTTGGAATGGCGTGTGGTGCGCGAGGTTGGTTCCACCCAATTCTTTACACGGGAGGCATATCCTGGCGGTGGATGATAAGTCGGCAATCACCGATAACGCAGAATCCACGAGGAGGGGAAAAAAAAAAATCAAAAGCGTCAGCAGCACTCGGGGCGAAGTCACGACAGCCGCATGGCCCGTTGTGGAATCGATACAACGATCAAACGATCACACCGATGAATGGTGACGGGTGGAATGCTATAGATCGAATGGAACGGGATGGCACCGATCGAGCGTCTGTGTGCGGAGACGAGACAGTCCTAAGGGAGCGATCGGCAGATTAGTTGATTGAGGCTCGACTGGCAGCGTGGTCGTGAGTTGCGAGAGAAATTGGGACGGTGGAAAGAAGAGGATGAGGAGAAGGTGTAGTGAAGGAGAAGTGGAATGAAAAGAAAAGGGCCGCGGTGGTGGGAATATGACTGTTATTATTATTATTATTATTTTATTTTTCTCACATTAGGATTTGGTTTTTGTATAGTCCGAACCGGCGTATCAATGATTAAGGTGAAGGACAGGACCACCAACCCAAAAAAGCGAGAACCAAACCCCAGCAAGAATGGGGATGTATCCAGACCAGTCCAGTGCCCGGTCTGGCCAGCGCGGGGACGGCGAAAGGAACAGCGCTCGTCGGGTTTGAAAATTAAAATTAAAAAAGAATTGACCAGAAAAAAAGAAAAAGAAAAACCGAAAAATCAAAAAATATTAATCACTAGCGAAACAATAAGCAGGTCCAATATTACCTGACTTTTGCCAAAAACATGGACAATTCAAAAAGACTTTTTTTCTTTTTTTTCTTTTTTGCTTTTCTGATTCTTGTCTTTTTCTTTTTCTTTTTCTTTTCTTTTCTTTTCTTTTTTTTTTTTCTTTCTTCGAATGAGAAAAGTGAATTAACACCGGAGACTAACGCGGTTTCTGGTTTAGTTCGACCCGGATAAGATTGGTCGACCAACCAGATTTCCAAGAATCTCCTCTTTTTTCTTTCTTTTTCCTTCCCTCTCGGACCTTGCGTGGTTCTGACTAACTCGGGAAGGTCAGGGAGATCGAGAAAAAGGAACGGGGAGAGTGGATGGGGGAAGAGGGGGCGAGGCAGAGAAAGACAGACAGAGACAGAGGGAGAAAAGGTGTGAGAAGGAAAAAGAATATTCAGGGTCATTCCCCAGAACCAACGGGAATTCCTTGGTAATTTAATCTATCACTGGATCATAAATAACTACTAGTAACGTGTGTAATCCTCAGACGCTGCCTCCGTATAATTATAGCACCCCAACAGACGGTAATTACCAACTGATCAACACCGACAACGTGGTTGACAGGGCTCCAAACGAGTCCACATCCACCTTTCGGTTGGTACCCACGGTCGAAAGCAACCTAAAAAAAGGTCGGTGTTAAGGTACAGTACTTCGTCCCTGTACCCTGAGGCTACCACGACGGAAGTATCCTTTTCCTTCTCCTCAGAACCAAAATCAATTCTAGTAAGATGAGCCGACGATGAATCATGTCATATGAAAAGCTCGTGACCGTCCGCTGCCGGTTGGTTATCGTTTCTTCGAGCGCTCTCTCTCTCATCATCATTATATTAGATTAATAAGTTTCCTATGTATGGCTCTTACCGAATTGGGAAGACGTCGCATTGGGTGACCTCAACCGCAGTCATCGTGCTCAACTGATGACTATCAGACTCTCCTTTATGCGGAGATTCTTTGTACCCGGTGGATGATCAATGATCCATCTATCTATCAACAGTCACCAGCCGGTGGAGTACTGCCCATCGAAATGTTCTCTGAAACTCAGCGGGCTCCCCTTAATGAGTGTTTCCTTGTTTGGTGGAGCACGCCGAATAAGCTTAGCTACTGCGGTGGACGATCGATGCTGCGAGTTGGAAGGGATCTGTGTTCGATCGACATCTGAGAGTCCAAGGGAGAAGAAAAAGAAAAGCCAAAAGGACTTTCATATTCGCATTACATAATACGTCGATGGAAGCCAAACCACAGCCGGAAAAAGCAAAAGAATAAAAGATACAAGTGGACCTCGGTATGGATCCGATCGAGAAGAAAGAAAGAATCCTAGACCGATAAGCCAAAAAAGGGGTCACATAAGCGATTTTTGTTTTTTATTTATTTACTTCCTTGTTTCTTCTGGTGATGGAACTGAGCTATCTTTTGGATTCGGTCTAGTCCTGGTGAGGTCTTTTTATTTGATTCGATTTAATTTTATCTATATACCTTTTTTGTTCTTTCTGGTTCATGTTTGTATGATTTTTTTCCTGCTTGTGGCCCTCCTTGCGTCCCGGAATGCATGGCAAATGGGGAATGGAGGGAGAAAGCTGAGCAGCCTGAGCTATCATCTTCGTGACAGCGAGTCAGGACCTAGGCAAGGAAATATATTTAGTACTCGAACGGACGATGCACACGGACCCTCACACAAGATGTATGTCTGGATGCACATAATCAGTGTTCCTGGAGTCACCACCGTTCTTTGATTCTTCACTGCAATGAGTGAAAGATTCACGGAGGCATTGTTTACTGCATAATCGGTGATAATGGTCAGTCTAGAGACATCCGTCTCACCCAAATAGGAGAAAAGCATCCGCAGTCCGGGGACAACGAACCAGTTCTCTCGTATTATCGACTGCTCTAGGCTATTTGCCTTCCGCACGGACCTTTCCCCGATCCATCCCAGAACCATTCCTCGTCTCAAGGCAAACGACTACTGCTGGTTCGCCTTTGCTTCATTCCTAGTGTTCCCGCTGAAGTACACCCAGTACCAGACGATAAGAGTCGCCCTTCGTTACCAAGTCGGCAGTAAGCTACTATCCACGCGACGTCCTCCGCAGTCCACGGATTGGCCAGATAACCGAGCACCCCATCCCAACGTATCTTCATTCTCGTGATTAATGATCCTTCCAGAGCATAAATAAACTAAAACTGTTCCCGTGCCTCCTGCAGAATACGAAGTCCAAGCAATTGCCTCCAGGTCCTGGTCTCTGGTTCGGGTCCACTGGTCCAATCATCCGGGGGGCGGTCGAGAGAAGCGAGCAGAACCTAGTCGTGACCAGCTGCAGTTGTTTCGCTGTCGGAGCGGCACAACCCGAACAGTCTGTCAAATAAATCAAATCACCAAATCACCTCAAATCAAGAAAGACGAGAAACCCATGGGAAGGTAAAAAAAAGAAAA